TAGTGCTATGACATGCTACTCTCTGGGCTCCATCGCTGGTGCTTTCAATTGCGCTCTCACCTGGGCGTCCTTCTCCTTTGCCCCCTATCCTCCACATAATCCGACTCCCAACCTCCTGGTCCTCTTCTTCCTCCTCCTCCTCCGGTTGCTGCTGCTGCTCGTCCTCCTCCTCATTCTCCTCTGTCTCTTCTACCTCTTCGTCTGTGCTCATACGCCCCATCCTCTTCGCATTGTATTGTCTCGTTGATCGTCCGCCTCCTGTGGCCGTCGCGGTCGCTTCGTCGCCGTCGTCGTCTTCGTCGCCGGTCGTCCTCATCGTCGTCGTCGTCGTCGCCGCCGTCGTCGTCGTCGTCGTGGTTGTCGTCGTCGTCGTCGTCTTCGTCGTCGTCGTCTTCGTTTTCATCGCGCCGTCGTCCTCCTCCTTTCCCTCTTAGGTAACAGGGTCAGATGCGAAGCCCGATTCGGTGAGAGGACAATGAAGTAGCTCAATGGGAAGGGATGGGAGGGAGGGGTAGGATGTCAGATGTTGACGCGAGCGCACCTAGCTTGTCCTCCTCCCCCTCCTCCTCCTCCTCCCCCCCCTCCTCCTCCAACTCCTCCCCTCCCTCCTCCTCTTCCTCTTCCTCCTCCTGCTCTTCCTCCTCCTCCTCCTCTTCCCCCTTCTCCTGCTCCCGCTCCTCCTCCCATTCATCCGCTTCCTCCTCCTCGTCCTCGTCCTCGTCCGCGTCCTCCCCCTCCTCCTTCCCCCCCCCCCCCTCCTCCTCCTCCTCCACCCCCTCCTCCGTCCCACTCGCCACTTCCCAGACTAGGTGCCAAAAACCCTCTGGCGGGCGGCGCAGCGGCAGCGGCCACTTAGAATGAAACCTCCCCGGGGGTGCCCCAGGTTATTTGGCCGCGGCCACTCTGCATGCCCAGGGGGCACCTTCGTTCTTGAAGGACATCGACTATCCTCCTTCCACGTTTGGGGACGAGGTTCGCGCAAGGTTTCCCCAACGCGCGGAAACGTCGGGCCCCCGCCCCCCCGCAGGCCCCGCGCCAGAAATACACGCGCAATCTCATCAACCGGCGGGCGGGGTCAAGCTGCAACGGGCGACCTCGGCATGGGGGGGCGAGCAAGTGCAAGCGCGGGACATCGGCCGCGAGTCGGCCGCGGCAGGTTACATAGGAATTGCCCCTGGCACCGGTCTTCATTTGGTGATGGGTCTGCCCGGTGACAGCTTCTTCGCGCGTTTTCCGCCCCTCCGCCCGCCCTTCGGCCTCGCGCTGCCGATCGGTCCGAGACGAAACCCCAGGAATCTCTGCGGCGCGGCTGGCAGCGTGCGCTGGAATAGGGATAGGGTTTCGCTGGGCTCAAATGGCTAGCCCATCGATCCTGGCGACTTCCTGGATATCCGGGGCTGGCAACTGGGCGACTTTCGCCCCCTCCTCGGCGCACAGATCATCATGCGCATTCGCGAGCCAATGCGCCGTGGGAGCCTGGCACTCCTGCGCCTGCTCTATCGGAAATGGGACTTGACCTTGTGGGCGACAATCGGACGGTCACTGACCGCCTCCCAAAACATCCTCCGCAAACGCTTCCTACTCTCATGCCGCCCTGGGGAGCCTTGCCGACATCCATCGACAACATTTGCGCGCGTCTAACACTAGCACCAACGGGCCTGTCGCGCACAGGGCGGCCTTCGAGACTGCGGTGAGCTCTGCAATCGGGACGGGCTGCTTCCAATGATCGACTGGGCCGTGTGCCCAAGCCGCGGGCCCCCATCCTCCGAGCACGGCGATGCCCCGCCCGCATCTACGCAAGCTGTAATATTCATGGCATTTGCCTCCAGATCCGTCTGCAACTGTGACCGAACTCTGATCAAGGAGAGACGCGGGGTGCCCGCCGAGCTCGCCTCACATGATTGATTGTTCCTGGATCGGGCAGGTTGCGCGCTGGCACGCCCACAACACAAGTTAAGCCCGCGGAGCGAGAAACGATGCCAATCGCTGGCCTCATCCTGCGCCTGGGGAACGAGTTCATTGCCGAGCTCCTTCCAAGGCTTCGTTGGATGGGCACCCCAAACTTGGCGAAGCGAGCGTTTCCGGGGGCACCGAGGGCCCAGAGCAAGCCGGGCTGGCCCTGGTCGGGCGACGCGGTCTGCAACGCTCTTCGGGCTCCAATGGGCCCCCGTGGCGGGCCTCCCCAAGTCAGCCCCCCCTCCCCCCCCTCCTGGGCCAGGCGCAGCATGTCCTCAAAGGACAGGCTAGCCTCCTCCCATCCACCCCTCCTGAACTCCAAGGCCTCGGGGCCCCTCGGGGCCATGGGGCGAGCTGGCCGCGTCAGCCTCGGGGGGGCGGCGGCGGCGGCGGCCGCGACGCCGCTGCGCCAATTTTTCTGCTGGCTGGCCACCTGCCACGATCGCGCGCGAAATGCCCAACTCATCAGACTCGCCTACTTTCCTGAGCTGGCGCGCGCGTGCTCTGCTAGGGCATGATCGGGGCCGAGCTCCAGCCCATTGCCTCGATGGTGATTGGGCGCCGTCAGCCAGCTTGCCGATCGAATGCGCCGCGACATTCAAATCCGCCTCGCGCCCGGGATCGCCCGTCCCAAGATCGATGGGCGCCCCGCCCTGGTTGCCCCAGCTCCGCGGCACGTCGGCAGCGAAACCCAAATCTCGCAAAGCGGCACAGCACGTTGCCGCGAGCGCGCCCCCGGCTATGCCCCGCCTGTAGCTGGCCGGCTCGAGATCCGCCCAAGCCCTCCGCCGCGCAATCTTTAGCGCCTGTCTTCTGTCCAGGGCGATGCCAAGCAGGATGGGCGCCCATTCCGTGAACAATCTGAATCCGCCAAGAAGCGTCGGATCTTGGTGCGCCGATGCGAATGCCGCGCGAATCGATGTCGCCGCACAACCCCCCTCATTTCTTTCGGGCAATCATCCTTGATATCTGTGCGCGCGTGCGAAGTAGCGCTGACGGCGCGACCCCCAGGGCCCCCGGGCCCCGGGCTGCTTGCGGGACGCAGCCTGTCCTGGCCAAACTAAATACGTTGCGCGCCGACATGGCCGCTCACTCGGTCGTCTGGCGCCTGCCTGTGCTGGCCGCCTGCCGTCTCTTTTTGGCGCGCGCCGTGACTCTGCGATGCGCCGTGACATCACTGCCGAAGTCCTTGACTATCTGGCTGCACTTCAGCGCAATGCCTAGCTCTTGCAGCTTGGACTGGGGAGATCTGGCGATGGGCGGCGGGTTAGACACGAGCGCGCCCTTGACTGCGATGCAGAGACCTTGCTCCCTGCTCGCCCGAACAGAGAGAGGCTGTTGCTGCGGCTGTTTGCTACTGCTCTCTCTCTCTCTCTCTCTCTCTCTCTCTCCCTCTGCCAACTGTCGACTGGTCGTCTGCCCAGCTCTGAACCTCCGCCGGTCGATAGTTGGCGCGCAGCCCCCCAAGCATCCACCGCGGGACCGCGGGGCAAAGCGCCACATGTCTACGCTTTGGCTGCAGCCTGCCAGAATTCCCCGAGGGGCCTGGCCTGTTCAGCCACCTCCGCATTTCCCCTGCAGAGGCGAGGGCCAGAGCGCGAGCGCAGCCCAGGGAAAAGGCGGGCGAGAGGGAAGCCAGCTTTTTCACCGACTTGCCAAAGCTGCCGCGGTTCAGGCGCGCCATAAAACTTCCCCATGTCCCAGAGCGCCTCGCGCCAATGAATCATTGGAGGGAAGCCGTTGCCTACTTCACCTGTCGGAGCAGAGCCGCGCGCAGGCGATTGCACCCAGCCGACGCCTCATCTCATGACCGGTCGTGCGAGGTCGACCACTTGGCGACCTGCCGTCTCCGAATCCGAGACCAGACTCTGTACGGCGCCCGGATGGGAGTGACTGGCCTGTCGGCTTCCTCAGGCTTGTACATGAGCTGCACTACGTTGACCAGTGCCTGGGCTGGCCCCACCAGCGCGGGCTGGCGCGGTCAACCCCCGCGCACGTGACGGGCTCGAAAACCTTTGAAGGCGTCTAGAACTTCAGGGCTCTCCATCGGGTCCAGCGTGGTGCTATGTTTCCTCGCTGCACGTCGGAAGTCCCGCCGCCGTGCCCGATCCTGCGGGCGGCCCTTGTCTTTGCCCCAGAATCCAGACCAATGCTGGGTTTGGGCTGGGATGTTGGCCAGGGGGCCCTGCCTCGGATTGCCTTGGACGCCCCCGGCAAAAGAGAAGACTTCCACGGGCGCGCCCCAGAGCTCGGCGCGGTGATGTACGGCGCCATCGATCCAACGGACCATCGGGCCCACTACTTTGACGCCCTACCGATCGCTTCACTGCCTAGAAGGCCCCATGCATGCTAGCTGGGGTCTCAACTGGTTGAACATCTCAATTTGCCAGCACCATCCTGCAAATCCGCTGGCCGCCGAAGCAGCTCGGCCGCAGGGCTCGCCATCGCTTCGACCGCCCCCGAGCCCCCCCCCGACCCTTTGATACGAGGACCTCATGCGCGTGAAGTCGCGCTTGTAGGGCCGCCTGCCGCGAAAGCGCGTTGGTCGTGGCTAACCGGCCTGTCGGATTGGTCGGGCGCATGCGGATGTGCTTGGACTCAGGAAAAAGCCTCCGTCGGTCGCAGCTGCCTGCCCGTCGCCAGCCTGCCTGCTGATTGGCAGGTTTTCAGCTGTCAAGGTAAACCCCATGCCAGCGTGATCTGGCGAGCCCAGCTGCTTGTCGGCGAGCCCCGGGTGTCCCATGTCAACATTCACTGGTTCCTGGATCGCATCCAAAGGGTACTTACTCCCAAGGCTGATCTGGGTCTAAAGCTGCAAAATTGGCATCGGCTGCACTGGCGCCCGCGTCGTGACCTGCCCCGGCGTTGTTCGGGGGCTCCGATTATGCCATGGCGCGGGGCCGCCCATGGGCCTTTCGCGCCCCATCTGAAGGGCACCAGTCCACCTAATTAGCTGCTCAAAGACAACGCCATCCGCCCGGCAGTTCCTTCACTGGGCTGCGCCGCGCTCCTCGGAGGCACATGGCGATCTGGATATGTTATACCTCGGGCTGCCCATGTTCCAATCAGCCACAGTGATGAACAGGAGGCCCTTGGCCACGCCAAAAGACGCCGTGCTGTTTAGAATATAAACTGTTTGGCCTGCCGGCCCAACTCCCACCGCCAGATGCACGGGCGCGAAGATTACCTCCGGCCCCCGGCGTCGAAGAAAAAACAGCTGCCCACTGCGCCTGCTCCTGGCCGCAGCGAGGTAACCCCTCCAGGCCAGGTCCTTCTCGGCACTGAGCCGTGCTCCTCCGTGCCCGCGAGCCCCGCGCCGCGCTGTCTCCGTTGCCGTGGCCGCCTTGGTGGCCCAGCTTAGATTATTCTTGGCTTCGTTGGATCTCTTTCCCTTCGGGCGGTGCTCTGCGACTTCCCAGGTGCGAGCGCGCTGAAGCGCGCCGTTCTCGAGCTCGAAGTATATCGGGCCCTTCTCGTTCCAGCTGGCGACGCGCGCGATATAGAACTGCAGTGCCCGCTGCCTGCCGCGTCGGCCCCCAACAAGGGCGTCGCCCGCCCCGTCCGTCGAAGGCCCTGCCGGGCTGGCCAGGGGCGCAGGCCCCCTGGCCATTGGACCTGCCTCGCGCCAGCCCCTGGGGGCATCTGGCTAGCGCCGACGAGTCCTCCCCAAAGTCTGCCTCAGGGTGCCAGCTGGCTCGCGCCGCGCCGTCCTCGCCAGGGGCTGCGGTGAGGTCGTTCAAGTGCCGGCGCCCCCCCCCGCGCTCGGCCGGCCGGGACCCCCCGCCCGCGGGGTCGCCGGGTGCCGCGGGCGCCGCGCGGGCCGCAATCGCGGCCGCGCAACTTTCGCAATCCCACGCGGGAGCATCGGCCATCCCTCCGTCGAGGGCCCCGCGGCGCTGGCCCCCGGCGCCTCGGCTGTCGGCCACCCGCGCGCGCGCGGCCGAGGGGCCTCGGAGTCGCGCGCCGCTGGTCGCCGAAATTGGGGCGCCCGCTCCCGCGCCCACGCCCCCCCTCGCCACTGTTGGGGCTGGCCGCCAGCGAGCGCTCCAAGGATCTGCGCGTCGCATCAGAATAGGCTTGCTTAGCCCGGTCGTCGTACTAGTAGGCCTACTTCCTCCTACTAGTAGGACCGCGGGGCGCACTAGTAGCCGTACGTAGCTGTACTCGCGCGCTCGGCCGTGCATGCCGCAGTCGTACTAGTAGCCGTACGTAGCCGTACTCGTACGCTCGGCCGTGCACGCCGCAGTCGTACTAGTAGCCGTACGTAGCCGCACTCGTACGCTCGGCCGTGCACGCTGCAGTCGTTCTAGTGGCCGTACGTAGCCGTACTCGCACGCCCCGCCCCGCACACAGCCGTCGTACTGGTAGGCCTACGTAGCCGCACGCACTAGTACGACCGTCCCTGCACTCCGCCGTCGTACTAGTAGGCCTACGTAGCCGTACTAGTACGCCCGCTCCGGTCGTACTAGTACGCGTACGTGGCCCTACTCGTACGCTCGGCCGGGCACGCCACAATCGTACTCGTAGCCGTACGTAGCCGTACTAGTACGCCCGACCCGGCGCACCGCCGTCGTATTAGTAGGCGTATGTAGCTGTACTAGTACGGCCGTTATTGCACTCTGTTGCCGTGCTGGTAGGCCTACGTCGCCGAAGTCGCATGCCCGCTCCAGTCGTACTCGTACCGGTACGTAGCCGTACTCGTACGCTCGGCCGTGCACGTCGCAGTCGTACTAGTCGCCGTACGTAGCCGTACCCGTACGCCCGAGCCGCGCACCGCCGCTGTATTCGTAGGCTCACGTAGCCGTACTCGCACGCAGGCTCACGCGGCCTAGGTTGAAGGGTATTAGGAAGGGGAGGTCAGGAAGAGGCGCAGACGAGGAGGACGAGGAGGAAGAGGAGGAGGAGGGGATCCTGAGGACGAGGAGGAGGAGGAGAAGAAGGAGGAGGCGCCTCCTCCTCCTCCTCCTCCTCCTCCTCCTCCTCTGTCTGATCTCCTCCTCCTCTTGATCTCCCCCCCCTTTTCCTGATCTCCTCCTCCTCCTCCTCCCCCTGATCCCCTCCTCTCCTCCTTTCCGTTGGCATCTGGGCTCACGCCGTTTGCGGCGCCGAGCCGGCACCCCCGCGGCGCAGCCCGCCAGGCGCCCGCGGCTGCGGCGCCGAGCCGGCGCCCGCCAGGGCCTCGGCCGCCATGGTGAAAACGGCTGCGCAGAAGGCCGCCATACAGGCGAAGCGCCTCGCGGGCCCTTGAGAGCAGCCACAGGGTGTTGGCCCGCGAGCGCCGGGTCCTCAGATGGCGACGCCGAGCGTCGCGCCGGCGCCCTCGACCCCTTGGCAGCCAGGGCCGCCCTTGCCCCGGGCGCCAGGGCCGCTGCCGCGGGCGGCGCGCCCACCCCCCCGGCCACCCGCGGCGCGTCCACCTGGCGGGTAGCGCCGCCTCTGGAGGCTGCGCGCACGCCCCTGGCTCCTGGGGCGCAGCCGCCGCGGAGCCGCAGCCCAAGGGCCAGCACCACAGGCGCGCCTGGGGCCGAGGCCCGCCGCTCACCGCAGCCGGCCGCAGCACCGCCGACGCAGGCAGCAGCAGCACAACCACTAGCAGCAACAGCGCCAACAGCAGCACAAGCTGCACCGGAAGCAACAGCGGCAGCGCCAGAAGCAACAGCGTCAACAGCTCGACCGCCATCAGCAACGGCCAAGGCTGCCGCGCCCAGGCCTCTGCCCTTGGGCCAGGCCTCGGACGCCGACAGCGCCGAGGCGACGAAGAACACGAACGTCCTGGTCTACGTTCTGGTGACAGGAACCAAGAGGCACCTCAGCCACGGCGGCGAGAAGAAGGGCAAGCCGGTGTACAAGGCTGAGCGTTCCCGAACTCCGATGAGGGATGCGTCCATGCCTGTCCCTCCTGTTTTTGTGGTTTTTGAATATGTTTACATGATCCGCTTGGGTTCCACCGAGCCCCCGCGACATCTGCGACGTCCGGAAATTCCACCGAGCCCACGCGACGTCTGCGACGTCCCGAAATGATCGGCCCACCCTGGATCGGGACCCGTTCTCGCCCTTTGGTGTATTCTGGGACGCGACGCTCGGAATTTGGCGCGCTGCCAGGCTCTGTTCCGCTGGTCAGAGGTTTACAGCCGCACCGAGCGGGATCTGTTGGTCTGCGCTAAGGCGCCCCGCGAGACGTGGCTCGACGGTTTCGCTTACCTCGAGGACATCGCGGAGTTCGAGAAGGTCGCGAAGTGGCACAAGCAGAAGCAAAAGCAGAAGGCCGGGGTGGGCGGTGGCGACCGCCGCGCGGCAACTGGCGCTGGCGGTAAACCGTCAACCTGGTCACCGCCGGGAACCTCGTAGACCTCCTTTCACGCACTAGAGTGCTCAGAATCGAAGCAGAGAGCTTCGGAGAAGATGTTCTCAAAATCTTCATTTTTGTAATTTTCGATGTCCATACGAGGTCAGTTCCCGGAAGTGAACCTATAGTAAAACTCCCTCGGGAGAGCTGAGCTGTTCTGGAAACAAAGTTTATATGCGTATGCTTAGCGCAAAAATCTGGTTTCTCAAAATTAATTGCCAAAGATCTTTCAAAGGTTAGCAAAACCGACCCAAAGTCGTCACATCTTCTTTTCTGGTCAGGTCGACCAACTGGCGCCGGCGGTGAACCGTCAACCTGGTCTTTTGCGTCTTTTGCGAAGGCCGGTTCGAGCTCCCATGGGAGCAGGCCTAAACACAAAGAACCTAAACAGCGAAGCTGTACAGGAAGACAGCGAAGCTGCAAAGATTAAAGCAGAGGTGCATCAAACAGCGAAGCTGTACAGATATGCACAAGACTGCCAATACACGAGAAGACAAATAAAAAAAAGAAAGAGGGAAGCAAAGCAGTGCGAGACCATGCAGTAACCACATATAGCGATTACCGTCTCAGCACCACTGAAAATAAAAGCAGTGTAGTGTCGACCAGATCAAAGGCCTACTTTGAGGCACCACGTGACAAATCACGGAAAGTCACGTTCAAAGGTCAATGAGCACTCAAATCAAGGAAGCAACGAATGACCTACTTTGAGGGATCCAGCGAAGCTCTTATTCAACACACGCGCATGCACGACAACACACACAGGCATGAAGAAAGGCAACGCAATGACAAATCAAGCGTGCAGGATCAATCACATGTGCATCATCTGTGCCGTTTCCGATGCTTCTTGCCGCTCCGCGTCAATGCACTCCTGGAAGTAGAACTCTGAGGACCCCCTTGTTGCGAATCATCCTCCTCGGAACTTTCAATTCCCAATTGCAGCCTGTATGCATTAAGAGCCTCAGTCCTACGCTGAAACTCCTGTGTCGGGAGTCGGTGTAGCTCAAGCCAAAGAGCCCTTACATCGACACCGGCAAGGGCCCAGTCCCTGGCAGCTTGGCACTCAGAGCGTGTCTCACTCGGTCGATCTGCAGAACTCCCATTCATGGAACTCCCTACTGCATCAGCTGAACTCCCAACTGCAGAACTCCCAGCTGTTGAACTCCCAACTGCATCCTCAACTGCATCAGCGGAACTCCGAACTGTGGAACTTCCTACTGCACTCCCAAGTGTTGAACTCCCGACTGCACTGGAACTCCCGACTGCATCAACTGTACTCAAAACTGCGGTACTCTCCACCGCACTCCCGTTGGTCGCATGCAATTCTGAAGTGTGCAACTTTGCACTCTCGATAGCCTCCGCTCGTTTGAAACAATATCTCTTCATTCTGAGAGAAGCATAACCCCGATCAACGTGCACTCGATGACACTCCTCCTTCTCCTCCTCACCAACAAAGAGAACACAACGATCAGTCTGAGTCCCACACTCAATGTGAACACAGGGATCTCTCTGAGTCCCACAATCGGAACACTGCGAACACAAAGAGTTGCCAGCCAATTCAACAGCATCCATATCAGTCAGTGTTCCACAAGTGTCCTCAACCCATTCCTCTTCCTCAGAATCGTCCGAACAAAAATTCCGATAATATCTGGGCGCGCAAATGCCCGCGCGTACAAGGCACGACGAATCTGGCCCCCGAGCCGTGGACCACAAACGATATCTGGTACGTTTCGCCCTCAGGCGGCGCAACTTCGATTGAGAAACTTTGACACCATGCCCATACAGCTTGTCTCGCTCAGGCAGGCAAGACTCACCTCCGTACGAAGGGCGAACACGGCAATATAGATCACTAACACACACTTCGACCGTAGACAAACGAGCAGACAAACAAGCGAGAAACTCGGAAGTAAACAGCGCCGTATCTGTCCAATCTGAAGCAACAAAATCCGCGCCTGACAATTCAGATGACACAAACTCCATATACAAAACGTGGACTCGCTCAACAAGAAGAAGGCAAATCACAAGCAATAACAAGATGGACAGTTGAGTACGATACGTGTGTATGCACAAAAACCTGTCCGCACAAAGTAAAGCACGCGTAAAGCTCTTTGGGAACCTCGTAGAGCTCTTGAGCCGGGGATCTTGAGCCAGGAACCTTGAGCCAACCTTGAGCCAGGAACCTTGAGCCAAAATGGCTACGGGAACCTCGTAGAGCTCCTTGCACGAGTAAGAGAGCTTAGAATCGAAGTAGAGTAATAAAATGAAGA